GGCACAAACGCGATTTTTTAAAATTGAGATGATGTTCATAAATTAACTAGATAAATAGAAGGCCTCAACATTAGTGACTAATATTTCGAATGCTAACAGAGGATAGAGAAGATGACTTGAATTATGGAAGAATATGAGGAATGACTCAATATGGAAGTAGAATGGAATTTTAATAATCAAAAAAATCATTATTGGAGATTAGTAAAATTTTTATATTTTTATGAATGCTAAAGATATCAATAAAGTGAGCTACAGAAAGAAGATAATAAAGCTGGAGTGATAAAGACAGTGTTAAAGCTCAGTGGGAATCAGTAAAGTGGATAATTTACTTGTTTACTGAAAGTTCAAATATTGACATTGTCAATATCTATTGAGAAAAAATTGGTTATAATTACAAAAAGTACACCTATTGCAGTGAATTAGTTTATTTAACATAGAAACTTATGTTGTCGTTACTTTCAACTTCAATAGCATACTGAATATTTTGCTCTGATGATTTTTGATTGGATAAGTTATTGCTGCAGTCCACAATATATAATCGAGAACAATAGAGTCGGAACATTGTCAGATCAAAAGCACATAATCTTAGACTCTGTGCCTGTATTTTCTCGTAGTCACAGTGCTGAGACAGAACAAACGAAAGCTTCAACTAAGCACGGGCTTTATCAGGTGAAAATTTATGATTCCAAAATTATAGGATTCGATAGGTTAATATGCGTTTTCCAAATCGCCATTTGGAGAGCTAGGCAGGCAATGACTGATAACATGTACAAACAACAACGAAGGGACTCAGCGAAGTGAGCCTTGAGAAAATGACAAAGTTAATTCAATCTACCTTTAAAAGAAATCTCTCAAAAAAGCGAAAATTCTTTAGAACATTTGATTGACAATAAAGACTTTAAATCATATTATTATTTTTCCATCTTTGCATTTTCAGCTAAAGCGGTGTCCACTGCACTTTCCAGCCTTTTCGAAATAGTCATTCCATCCAACATACTGACCTTATCCTTTCCAGGAGTTCCCGGCGATATTTCCATTCTTGTGATTTATCTCTTGTCCTCGCATGCCCTAGATTTTTGAATTCTTTCATCCCGCTTACGCAGGGTCTGCTGTACGAGCCAACTGTCTCCGGTACTCTCGATTTAAGGCATGGCGTTCGTTTATCCTAAGCTCTTTCAGGTCAGCTCTGATTCTGTCCATGCATCTCATCTTTGGTCTTCAGCGTGGTCTTTTTCCAGAGGCATGGCCATTCTTGTGATGTGGTTCCCATCTCTTCTACTTACATGCCACCATCGCAATCGTTTTTCCTGCATTTTCTTAACGATGTGAGCAACTTTCATCCTTGTACAAACTGTGTCATTACAGACATGATCTAGCAGGGTGATACTCAATGTCCACCGCAGAATTCTTGTCTCCATGACACTAAGCTTGGTTCTTCATTTCGCGTACTGGGCCAACATTCGCTGCCATATAGCGCTGTGGGACGAATCACAGTACGGTATAATTGGGATTTGAGTTGCACTGGCATTCGCAAGTCGCATAGAACTCTTTCTCCATTTCATCCAGGATGCCTTTGTCTTGGCAGATATCTCATCTTGAAGACCCCCTTCTCCAGAGATGCAACTTCCTAGATACTTAAAGGCACTGGTTTCCTTGATTCTCTTCCCATCTATGTATATGATGTCTGAAGTTTGACCTCCCATCTCCATATATTCTGTCTTCTTTGTGTTGAGCTTTATGCCGTACGACCCTAATTGATCCTTCCATTTCTGTGCTTCTTCTTCAAGTTCTATTCTATTTTCTGCCATCAACACCACATCGACTGCATACAGGAAAGCCCATGGAGGTTGTCGCTTGAGACCTTCCGTTATTGTATCCATGACTGTGATGAAGAGCAAAGGAGAGAGCACCGATCCCTGATGCACGCCGGTCTTTATGCGGAATGGTTTTGATGTCCTGCCGCGTT